CCCCACCTTTGCCATCCCTCCCCGTAGACAAGAGCACATTTCCCCGCTCCACTGACTTTGAACTTGGCCATGGGACTTGCTTTGGCTAGTAGAAGGTGAGCGAGGTGAAGCATGCTGTACCTGAGCAGAAGCTTTTAGAGGTACTGCAAGTTCCCAGCAGCACTCTTGGCTCCTTCTCTCTGCCATGAGAACAGCACGTCCCCAACCAAGAGCAACTGCCTTCTCAGTCTGGCTAAAGCAGACCCACAGTCGAGAATAAGAAGAATATGGAGTTGTCCACGGTCTGCACACTGTCTGCGCACTGTCTATCCACAGCCTGGAGCAGAGCTGCCAAGCCGTAGACTCCCAACTGACTTGCAGACCAAATATTCGTCGTTGGAAGTCTAATCTAGGAAAAGCTGACCAATACTCTCTTAATGGCAACATTCAGGACCTGCGTTTTTAGCAACCAAAGCTTGTTTACAAATAATACAGTGTTCCCAAGTTAAAGTATGGAAATGACTGATAAGTCTGTCCTTGTGACCAGTCACTGGTGTAACCCTATCCATTGACATACTTATACACCATGGCCAAGTGCAAATAAACTCAAATGAAAGTATCCAAAGTCCAAGAAAATCTAGGCACAGATGCAGTCCTCTTTGCATGTCACAATCTCGTCAGTGACACCATTTTCTTAGCTACGAATATCAGCCATAAAATATGAGCTGGGAAGGATTGGATTCATCAGTCTGAAGTATACTTTTTATTTACTACAATTTAAAAATGCATTTTATTTTAAATTGTTTGACTCACAAGGAATTACAAAAAATAGTACAGAGAGTTTCCATATAGCATTCTCCAGGTTCCCCCAATAACTGCAAATTGAAACTGGGGTCAAATTGATGAAACACACCAAATTTTAGAACTTTCATACCAAAAAGTAGACTCCTAATACCTCAATTTTAAGATTAAAATTATGTTAAATGATTCAGGTGGGGCTAAAAGTTGCATCACATAATCATGTACTATTATGACTAAATATTCCAGGGCAGGCACAGTGGCTCACGTTTGTAACCCCAGCACTCTGAGGGGTCCAGATGGGAGGATCGCTTGAGGCCAGAGTTCGAGACCAACCTGGGAAGCATAGTGAGACCCTGTCTCCACAAAAAATAAAAAAATTAGCTGGGCATGGTGAAGTTTTTAGCAACCAAAGTACACCTGTAGTCCTATGTACTCTGGAGGCTGAGGCAGGAGAATCCCTTGAGCCCAAGAGTTCCAGGCTACAGTGAGCTATGTTTGTGCCACTGCACTCCAGCCTGGGCGACAGAGGGAGACCCTGTTTCAAAAAAACAAAAACACGAACACACACAAAACTGATTAATTTATTAGAAATCATGATCAAACTTCTCCTATATGTATTTAGTATACTTAGTGAAAGAAAAATGTCTCTATTGCTAAAAGCTAATTGATCCAGCTGGTGGGAGTAAGTAGCCATTGGACAGTGCCTGCAATCTCTCTTCTAAGCGTGGGTCTGTGTCTAGGCTCTACTCTACTGTTCTGTTTTTCTGTCCTCATGCCAATAGTTAATGATTACATCCAGTATTATACCTTTGTCGTTCTTTAAGTCTGATAGCAATTCCCCCCACCTTTTAAAAGAGGTTTCTTAACTGTCCTTGGCTTACATATTATTCTGCCTGAATTTTAGGTTTGTCAAATAAAAATCCTGTTGGGATTTTAACTGGAATTGAATTTATGGATTGAGAGGAAGGGATATTTATACAATGTCTCCTCTTCCTATCCATGAACTTGGTATAATTTCTCCATATGTTTAGCTTTTTTGCTGTTTTTGTGGCACTTTAGTCTCCAGTGTTCCTGAACTATCTTGGGATTTTTCTCAACAATCCTAATGCCTTCTTTTTTATTCAGTGGTAATTTCGAATGGCTTCCACTGCTGCCTGGAAAATCATTACTTAGCCTTTAAGTCTCAGCTCAAATGCTACCTCTTCTGTGAAGCCTTCCCCAATCACTGTAGTCAGACTTGGTAGATGCTTCTCCTAAGCTACCCAGAGTAATTTGCATGTAATTGCAAGAGCAAATATTTACTGATAGCTGGCTACGTATCAAAGCAGTGTGGTAAGCACTCTTTGAGCATGAACTCATATAATCTTCAAAACAGCTGTTGGATATCAAAGTTAGTACTATTTTCTCCATTTATGAGAGAATAAGCTCAGGGCAACTTGCCTGAGGCACACAGCCAGGATGAGATATGGCGGGCTAGAAACCCAGGCGTCTAGTGCCAGTGTCCATGCTGTCCTGTACCCCCTCTGGAGCAGTTGTAGTATTAACTGAAATCATTTACTTGCTCTCACCCATGCATCCCAGAGAAAAAGTTTTGAGTGAATGCCCTGGATAAGGCACCAGAAAAGGTGCTGGCCGGACATACAGTGACCAACAAAACAGATATGAAATAAAAATCACGCATAATGTATTGTACATTATATGCAAAAATAGCTAAAAGAGTGTATTTCAAATATTCTCGCCACAAAGAAATGATAAATATTTGAGGTGATGAATATGCTCATTAGCTTAATTTGATCACACTGCAATGTATACATGTATCGAAAAAATCACATTGTACCAATGTGATTATTGTGTGTATCAAAAAACCACATATAGACAATTATTATTTGTCAATTTAAAAAATGAAATAACATTTTATACCAATCTGAAGGCATTTAAGAAAAGGAATAACATTTTAAACTAAATAACATCAATAAATATATAGGTACCAATTGTGCTAAGCGCCCTGGGGGAAAGAGGGAGGGGCGAACCCAGGATGACATAAATGAGAATTACAGAAGGGGGGGGAACATAAGGGAGGCAACTGCAGGAGGAGTTTAGGAGAATGTGTGTCCCCGGGTGCAAGTCAGAGGAAGAGTCATGAACTTGATTCAGGGTGTGCTGAGTCTTAGGGCCTGAGACGCATCCATTCTGCGAAAGGTTGGAAATACGGAAATCTGAGACTCTGGCATCGCGGTGGTTGAAGACAGAGAGTGGCAATCGCTAATAGGCAGGCCGCGGTTAAACCACAAGCATGGATAAGGCTCCCCAAAGGAAGCTGCAGAATGAGAAGACAACAGGCAGAGAGAAGGGTCGAAAGAAGAAGGTAACAGAGGTGGTGGTGTCTTTGCATCCTTGTGTCTCCAAAACGGGGCTTAGCGGAGAGCACTTGCTCGCCTGGCTAGCTGAATGCATGGTGGAGGGCCGAATAAATGAACAACTTTCTCAGCGTAGCTTTGGTTTCTGTCCCTTCTTCTCTAGACCTCCGTCTCCCTCTGCAAAATGGGAACAGCGACCTGGCTGGGATGGGCAGCGGCGGCCGCGGGGGCTCGGGCGGCCCCTGCACGCAGCCCACGCTTTGGCGGGCGGGGCGTCCGCGGGCTGCGGCGGTGTCCGCTGGAGGGCGAAAGCCGTCCGGGCTGCGGCGCACGGTGGCCTTGCCTCCCCAGCTGGGTGGGGAGGGCGCGCTGGGGAAAGGGGTCCCGCGCCTAGAGCGGGGCGAACGCGGCCAGGCAGCCAGGAGGGACTGCGGGAAGCAGGACCCTGCGGTGCGGAGGGCGCTGGGAGACCCCTCGGGATAGGTGTGTCAGGGGCGGGAGTAATGCGGTGAAAGGGAGAGAAACTCGGGAGATAGATCTGGTAGAACCAGGGGCTGGTGGAGACTTTCATCCGGGACCCCTAAAGCCCAGGAAAGAGCAGGTGCGGACGTGGGAGGGGACCGCACGCCAAAGCAGGCAGAATGAATGACGGAAAACAGCGCGCTCGGGAGCCCCGGGTGCGCCTCTGTCCAACGCAGCGCAGGAAAGGCTTGGAGAGTCGCGAGGTGCCAGGACGCAGGCTGCCCCTAGAGGGCTGGTCCTAAGCGCTGGGTCCGAAGACGCCTCCCGTCGCCACCGGGTGGCAGAGTTGGGGGCAGGTTCGCCCCACCGACCCTGAGGGGTGGCCCCGCCCCGGGGCTGCTGGGAGGCCCCACCGTGGGGGGCGGAGTTGTCGCCGCCCCCCCCTCCAATCCCGGGTGACTGCGGCCCCTTCTTAAGCCCGCAGAGCCTCCAGCTGCCCCTCACTGGACTCTCCTGCTAGTCTCCCTCCCCCACGATGGCCTCGGCGCTGAGCTATGTCTCCAAGTTCAAGTCCTTCGTGATCTTGTTCGTCACCCCGCTCCTGCTGCTGCCACTCATCATTCTGATGCCCGCCAAGGTCAGTTGCATCTCCAGGCAGCCCCGCGAACCGCGGGCGCCCGTTGCCTTCTAACAGGCACGAATTCGGGTGCACTGAGCTAGAACGCACGGATTCCCCGGCGGGCACAGCTCCCGGGGGCACGCGCACTCGGGAGCTCAAGGTGCCATATGGGAGCTGCCCTGCAAAGAATCCGAGGGGCATGGCGACCCCGAGGCGCACCAACCTTGGGGTTCACAGATCCCGGGGCACAACAGCCGTCCGGGCAAGCACGGAAACCTAGTAGTGAGCACACAGACCCCAGCCATAGGCTCAGCCCTGGCTCAGAATTTCCCAAGTGAATAACCGTGTTTCTCCCTCAAATGCCACCCGCCGGAGTGCTTGCCTTTCCCTCCCTCCGTCCCCCCTCTCTTCCCTTTAAGAGTTGAGACCAAGTTGTAGGTGGCTTTTGACGTCAGTCAAGGAACTATATGTAAAGATCATCACCCAGGCGGATCCGGAGTGCTCTCTTGGCCACTCTCTGGCCCTTCTCTGGACATCAGTTTCCGTATTTATGATCCATATTTCTTTCCAGCTCTTAAACAGGGAAGCCCCATCTGAGCCAAAATCCTGCTCCAGGCTGAAAGGCAGGTTGGGGCTGGGCAGCTTTGCCTGCTGCCTGCGGTAGCCATGGCAGGAGGCGGGACACATTCCCAGAGCTCACGCCTTGGGTGGCACAGCTTGGGGTTGCAGCGAAGCTTCGTCCCATGCCCTGGCCTCCTAATGCTCCTGGGAGGGAGAGAGAGAGAGAGAATGAATGGCCTTGGCCGCAGGCTGGGGGCAGGGCCAGGCGCCCTGGCCCAGGCTCCACTGGGCTGTGCACAGCCAGTTTGGCAGAGGCCCGAGCTCTTTGAAGCCTTTTGTGGCTGCTGGCTGCTCCTTCCTTATTCCCTCTTTCGGCCCTTTCACTCTCAGCCCAGACAGGAAACCTCAGGCTCTTGCCTCTCCTCCCCAGGCAGGTTTGGGAAACAGAGGAGCTCTTCAGGGCATGCTCTGGGGGCAGCCCTGGGGGAAGGAGGGTGCACTGGGGTGACAGAAAGACAACCTGCAAGAGAACCGGACTTCCACCATTCACTCATACTTGTGACTTTAGCCTAGTCCCTGCACTCTCTGGGCCTTGGTGTTCTCATCTGTACAACGGGGCAAGGTTGTTTGGTTCTGACACTTTAAAACTGTGGGTATGAAAAGAGAGTGTGTTGGTTCCTAGGATGGGGGAGGGGAGACTGGGAGCACCCCTTGGGCTGGGCTGAGCACAGGCCCTGGATGGGCCAAGGACAGCAGATCCAAGTGTGGTGGCTCTTAGTTGCCACAAGTGTAAGCAGCCATATTTCCTCTGTAGAAAGAGATCTGGGGCTGCACTGCTGGTGGGAGGGAGCCAGGCAGGAGAGCTGTGATTTTAGTTCTGCTGGCGGCCAGTGATGTTACCTGGAATAATTATAGTAGCTTGGCTGACCTTCCTGCGCCAGGAGAGACCCTACTCCCACCCTGACGCGCACAGGTGGCCCCTGAGCTGGGCCCCCAACTCTGTGTGTGTGTGTGTGTGTGTGTGTGAGTGAGCTGCCCTGGGAGTGAGGATCCACAGGGAAGAGGTGACCCCAGGGAGAGGCTTTCCCAAGGCTGCCTTCACAAGCCCTCCCTCCCACTGGCGACTGGGATCCCAGATCCCATGTTCTTGTTTTCTCCCTTTGTGCTTCTGTTTTGGTCACCGCTGAGGAACTCCTTGCCCCCACCCTTCACGGCCACCCCACTGTGCAAGAAAATCCAGAGGTACACAGCACGGGCAGAGTGGCTGGGAAGCCAGCCAGACTTTGGCAGTCTGAGTGGCATTGTCCCCACCAGGCGGTGACACCCAGGGCATTAGGCCCTCTGCCCATGCCCCGGCCCCTCTCCTCACCTCTGTTTTCTTTTTTTCCCCTCTCCACCTTCGTTCCTTCCTGGCCTCATCTCTGCTCCACTTTCTCTACCCTTCCTCTGGGTCCTTTTTTAAAAAAATCATTACAATGAATGATAAATTTATTGTACTGCTTATTTTATTTAAAACATTAAAAAAATCGTTTTTAAACAAATTTGTAAAATTTTTTTTCTTTCTTTTTTTTTTCTTTTGGCACCTTCAGGAGTTTTGGAACAAATTTGTAAAATTTAAAGCAAAAATGATAATGCCCTCAAATCTCCTATCATTAATATTTTGATAGACATCTTTCCAGAAACCAATCAATTTATCTCTCGTCTCTCTCTACACATGCTCTCTCTCTCTCTCTCTCTCACACACACACACACACAAAGAGTATGTTTTGTCTGCAGTTTTGCATTAAGCAATGTGTTGGAGACATCCTTCCTTGTTAAAAATTATATAAATAATGAGCCGTGGTTTTATTTGGTTGTGAATTTATTCGCATGTGTGTTCTGTTGTGCACATACATTTATCGAGCCCATTATGCCCTGTGCTGGACACTGATGATTGAAATCCCCATTGTTTGCTTGGATCTCAGCTTTCATCACTTCTCTGGCTGCTTTCTCAGCTGCAGGGCAGTGCTCTGAAGTATGCCCCAGAAACTAGGCCCCTCCCTGCAGGTAGAGCCCCCCCCCAGACTTTTCTAATATCCTCCTTCCTGTTCTGCCCTATCCACTGACATGGGGGAGATTTCCGTCTAGAGAGGGCCAAGTGCGTTGACGGGTGTTATTCAGGAACGAGCACCTCCTGGGCTTCCAAATGGCGGTACGGAGGTGAGGGGCAGTTAGCTTTGTGTTGTCGCCTCTTTTCTAAAGGTTGTGTTTGGCTCCTTCAGGAACACGCAGTGAAAACTGGTTAGCGTGCCACTTACTGCTTCTAAGTTTACAGAATAAAAAATTATGGAGGACTTTGTGGGCCACAGGTTAAGAATGGGCACTCTTAAACCTATTTACAGAGGAGGACACGAAACCAGAGGAAGAGGGGCCAGGACTGGGAGTAGGAGGAGTAATTTATTAATGACATTGTTTGCAGTTGCTATCACATGATGACAATAAGAAGCAAACTGCTTTTTAGCTGGTGTTACTGTTTTCAAATTCTGTACCATACAACTCTTATTATGGCCCTTAGAGGGGATCCCTCCCATTGCCTGTCCCGTGGAACATCCTTGACACCAAAGCTTAGAGAAGTTAGTGACCGCCGAGGGGCCAGACGACAGCAGACAGTGGACCCTGATCAAGCCTCCCTGGTGTCTAAGCCTGGGCTCCCCACCATACTGCTGTTCTGCCTTTAGTTCAGTGGCTCTTAACCAGCATGGATCCTTTCTCCCCCCACCCCCACCGCATAGCAGGGGACCTTTGGCAAAGTTTGGAGACTTTTTATTGTTGTCATATCTGGAGAGAGTCCTGCTGGCATCTCATGGGTGGAGCCAGGGATACTGCTAAACCACCTGCCACGCACAGAATGGCCCTCCCAACAAAGAGTCATTTAACACAGTGTCAATGTGCTTAGCTTGAGAAACCTGCTTGGGACAGTAGGGAGGTGCCCTGGGTTGCTCATGGGATGCTGAAGAAAGATTTCTTTCTTCCTTCTTGTGGCTGATAACACAAGCCAGACAAGGAATTTCGAAGTCTTTCTGCAATGTTTTGTGCATAGGATCCGTTCTCTTTTGGGAGATGATGAACAGTGAGAGCGTAGAGGTACACATTTCTTCAGCAGCCTTGTCAAAGCTCGACTCAGATGAATACTGTTGATTCCTTTAATAAGCATTTGCCGCGATCTCCTAAGTGTTAGGCCTGTTCTGGAAGCTGAGGACGGAGTGAACTTACAAAACAGCAGGTCCTCGAATAACTTGTTTCATTCAATATCGTTTCATTATAACGTTGATGAGAACAGTCGATTCTCAGCCAATGTCTGTGTGGAGTTTGCCTGTTTTCCCCACGTGTGCGTCCGTCGATGCGGGGGGCATCGTGGCCAGGGCAGGTTCCCACCTGGTGCCCTAACCTGCCAGGATAGGCTCTGGCCACTTGAGACCCTGAGCTGGAATAAGTGGGTAAATGATTATCTTGCTTGTTTTTATTCATCTTCCTTCAGTGTATGTATAGCTCACATTTATTTTAATGTGTAATATTGGAAGTGTTTTAGTCTTGTTTAGAAGTTTGGTGATGTTTTTGTGACCAGAAATATGCTGTAGGAACTTAACTCTCGTTTATGTCTATTAGCCTGTGGCCAAATTGGTTTTGTGACACATCATTTCACTCATAAGTTACGGTTTCCAAGGACCTATCTACAGCGCTGAGTGAGGACTTACTGTACTGTTTGCACCCTCAAGTTGCACAGTTTGGTCATGGTGGTGGGGAGACAGTCAGGAAACAGTGACAATCTGGTGTGCCAGTTGCTGGGGTACTCAGAGGAAGGACACAAACCAGACCATGGAGGGGCCAGGGGAAGGCATCCAAGAAGGAACTGTGAGCTGAACTTTGAGTGCTCACCCCAGGCCCAGGAGCAGGTAAGAGGAGGAGGCTGTGATAGAGACAGCATCTGCTGGTTTACGGCAAGTGCTTTGGGGTGGCTGGCACTTGGGCGTGAATGGATGAGGAGGTGTCGCTGCAGCGGTCCACAGGGCTGGGTCCATCACGGAGGGGCCTGTGAGTCCTGCTGTGGCATTCGGATTTGTACTGAAGGCAACAGGAGGCTTTTAAACAAGGGGGTGATGCGATCAGATTTGCCAAAGAGAGAGAGGGAGGACAGTGTGAGTCTTTGCAAATAGGAAGATTGAATGAGAGAGAGTTGCCGAGATCCAGGAAGGAGACAGAGCAGAGGTGGTGGCCATGGGGATGAAGGAGGGACGGGGGAAGAGGATCGAAGCCATAGGTCTTCTTGGTGACCAATTTAATTGGAGGGGACTGGAATGAGGGAGAGGGCGGAGTCAGGGTAATTAATAAGAATTATAAGAACAACACTGATGAAGCAGAAAAGCACCTAGGGAGGTGGGTATTTTTATCCACATTTTAAGAGGTGACAGGACTGAGGGCCAAAGGGGTTAAATCGCTTTAACCAAAGTTCGACAGCAAGTGAGGGGCCAGGATGGCCTGTCTCACCCCAAAGCCAAGATCCCTCTGGCTAAGTGGCTAAAGGCCTGGAATCAACTATTCACACAAATTTAAATACAAATAGTACAGTTTGGCACCTTAGTAATTTGAGAAATGCCAGTGAAAACACCAAGCGGCTATCTTTGCAATTTAAAAAGCAAACAGACCTACCTTGAAAACACTGGGTGCTGGCAGATGTTTAGGATGAGCTGGTAGACGACATGTTCATTCCTGGAAGCAGAAAAAGTCAAGCAGCCCTTTGAGGAAGGAATCAGGAAGAGGTAGGGGCATTCCAGGAAGGGCTTCAGGGAGCATCTCCTAAGGATGGATTAAAAATAGGGGAGCCAGATAGAGCAGGGTGGGCAAAGCACCCTCGTGAGGGTAGAGAAGAAACCATGTTTATTTGGCCATGGGAAGACAAAGGAAAAGTGAATGATCCCTCAAACTTATGAAATATTTGTAGTTTTAAAAATTATCAATATGAAGATTACATAGCCCTGTGAAAAAGCAACAATCCTGAATGTAGAGAGAAAGAAGTAGGGTTGAAAGGGAACCTGGAGAAAATTGCACCGAATACGCAGAACGGAGAAGAATCACATGCACTTTGTACAATGATTTTAATTTTTAGAGTATGTCCTTAAAAATTGTATTTTCTTCTTTTCCTCCTCCCCCTCCTCCCTTCCTCTTTCTTCTCTTCCTTTTCCTTCCTTCACCTTTTCCTTCTATTCTTTTAAGAGGTGACTAGTCCAAGATTTGGAAAGATGAAGGAACTTGCCTGGAACCACACAGCAGGGAGGGGTGTGTGTGTGTGTGTGTGTGTGTGTGTGTGTGTGTGTGTGTGTGTGTGTATAGGAGTCTTTGGTGACAGATCCTTCACCCTCCTCACTGTCCTAACCCTAGAACACCACTGACCAAGGGCGGGGAACAGGATGACTCTGAGGGGCTTCCCTTTGATGACACCGCTGTCCTCTGACAACCCCTGCCAGCAGCTGTCCAGAGCATTCTGGGGGTGGAGAGAGTGGGGCAGCCACAAGCCGAGGCCTCAGGCTGTCTCTTCAGTTTGTCAGGTGTGCCTACGTCATCATCCTCATGGCCATTTACTGGTGCACAGAAGTCATCCCTCTGGCTGTCACCTCCCTCATGCCTGTCTTGCTTTTCCCACTCTTCCAGATCCTGGACTCCAAGGAGGTGAGCAGCCCCGGGGGATTCTGGGGCCTTCCCGGTTCTCCCATTGTCTCATTCTCCAAGCCCCTCTGAGCTGCCTAGGCCTGGGACAAGCAGATAAGCCCCATCTGTGGGGTCTCCCTGGCATGGAGACAGAGCCACCCCGAGCCTGCATTCCCTCCCCCGCCCCCCAATTCCCAAGCTGTCCCTGAAGTCAGCATCTGGCCTGCTTGCCTGTCTCTGGGGACTCGGGTGGCCCTGTGCCCTGACAGAGCTTCCATGCCACCCTCCAGGTGTGTGTCCAGTACATGAAGGACACCAACATGCTGTTCCTGGGTGGCCTCATGGTGGCCGTGGCTGTGGAGCACTGGAACCTGCACAAGAGGATCGCCCTGCGGACGCTCCTCTGGGTGGGGGCCAAGCCTGCACAGTAATGACATCTCCCTCTCTCTTGCCATGGGGCTCTGCAGGGGCCCAGCGCTGGGGAGGGGAGGGCGGCACAGACCAGGCTGGCCCCTGCGTGGGGCGTGTCACATGGTACAGTCTTAGCTGGGGAGACCAGATGCATGAAAGGTGGTGGCAGCATGCGAGGAGCAGCAGTAGGTAAGGGCTCTCTGAACCTGGAGGGGACAGGTTGGCAAGAGTCCTTGCAGGTTTGGAAGGCTTCCTGGGGGAGGCAGCTGCAGGGCTCCTCGGGGAGCAAGTTGGATGGAGGCTGGATCAAACCATGCCTGAAGGGGATTTGTGGGAAAAGCAGGCCAGAGGTAGCATAACTCTCCAGCACAGAAGAAGCAAGAAGGTTCTCTCTCCAATACTGGGACGTCTACTCCCCCTGCAGAGAAGCTTCACACTCATCTTCCCCCACATCACTCGGTGCTCGGCTTCTCACCCCTTCTCCAAGTCGGCACACTGGCCATTTCCAGCCAACCCACAGAGTCAATATAGATGGGGACATTGAGTGTCTACAACCCCAGTCATGATCCTGGGGGCTTATTTATCACCTCGTTTAATCCTCACCAAACTCGGACAGCTGGGTGTCATTCTTACCACCCATATTCTATAGGTGAATTTGAGACAGAGGGGGTAAAGTGATTTGCTGACGGTCACATGGGGATCAGACACCCAGCTTCCCTGATAAGGCCCGTGTCCCCTCTAATCAGGAACTCGGGGCACATCTTTCATTGAGACAATGTGCTCCCTAAAGGATGGTGAGTCCCCAGCCCAGCTCTTGGCAGGCAGCAGCTGGTCATTTCACAGTAAATTCCTCCCAAGTTGTGTGTCAAGGTCTGTGCCCACCCTCCCAGTGACTATACCTGGGGCTCCCTGATGTTGTGGCTCTGTGATCTCTGTTACCCTTCATAGCATTGGTCCCCTCTAGTGACTGGCTTATAAGGTCAAATCAAAAGCCACTGCATTTTCTGGAGCTCAAACTCCTGGCCTCAAGGGATCCTCCCACTTCAGCCTCCCAGAGTGCTAGGATTACAGGTGTGAGCCGCCATGCTGGCCACACCACTGTATTTTCCAGAAATGTGAGATCTCAGGAACGTGGACCTCAGAGCCCTCAGAATTCCTGTTCCCAGCCCCTCTGAGTGGCCAACTTTTCTCTAATAGCAGGTGGGAGGCCCCACAGCGGGCATCATTCTGTTGTGTGCTGAAGAGCTTTTGCTCATCAATCCAAGGACTGAGCACGTGCTTCTCTGCCCCCTCCTGTTGCCTGGCTCCTCCTGTGAGCTTGGTTTCCAGCTGTCCGTGGCACTGCCCGTCCTGGGGGCGACCTGTATGTGAGGCTCCCTTGGTGCCTTAAAGCATCATGTAGAAGCCATGGCCCTTCTAAGACAGCCCACGTCCATGCAAACTCTCAAGCCTCCTCCTAACCTGGGTTCTGGCCTTTGTTTCTGTGGGTCCATGAGCTCAACTTGTATGGACTCCAGCCTGAGCCTTGGTGCAGTGCAGCCACTGGGTCCCTTCTTCAGGGAGGCAAATCAGCATTCCCGAGGAGGAGCCCGACTGCGGAGGGCACACCTACCAAGAGCCCCCATGCTCCTTCTGTCCCTGGCCTTGTACAGCTGGGGTGTGTGGAGCCGAGGACAAGAGTCAGGCCTAAGGAGAGAGCAGACATGGAAACAGGTGCCTGGAGTCCAGCACGGTGATGAATGTAGGAGGCAGGATGGAGAAGGACATGGCCAGCCCCACCTGGTACCCACTGTGAGGGCCCCAGAGGAGGGACATGTCTGAGCACGCTGCGAAGGACCAGGAGGAGTTTTCCAGGCAGATGGCAGAGGAGGGAGTATGGCTTAACAGCAAAGGGGACGTATTTTCTGGATACTGGTTGTTGGATGGGTGCACCACCAAGTGAAGGGGGCCAAGTGTGTGAGTGGAGAGAAGTGGCGGTGGGCGGAGCCAGGAAGGTTACACGTTCCCAGGCTCCCTCCCCGGCTGGCCCTACCCTGCAGGCTGACTGGGCTTATCCCCTCTGAACTTTTCAGTGGCATCTTCCAGCTGGAAGTGGAAGCTGGAGCTATCTGCACGTAGGGTCACTCCGGCACACCCCAGGTCATACATACTAGGGAAAACTGCGTATTGAGTTGGCACCATCTGGATGCCCTTGCTTCCCCTGCTGGACGGGAAGCTCCATAGAACCACGACTGGGTCTTGGGCTTCTTAGTGACTCCAGCAGCCAGCAGAGTAGACATCAGCAGTGTGTGTGCGAGAGAGAAAGAAGGGAAGGACGGAGGGATGGAAGCACCCAGACTCTAATCCCCTGTTAGAATACCCAGTCTCGAATTGGCCTCCACATCTCCCTGCTGCTTCCTGGGGGTGCAGGGCTGCGGGGGACTCTCTGGCTTCCCTCCCTACCCCTCTGCAGGCTGATGCTGGGCTTCATGGGCGTCACGGCCTTCCTGTCCATGTGGATCAGCAACACGGCCACCACAGCCATGATGGTGCCCATCGTGGAGGCCATGCTGCAGCAGATGGAAGCCACCGGCACAGCCACCGAGGCCGGCCTGGGGGCACTGGAGCTGGTGGAAAAGGGCAAGACCAGCGCGTTGCCAGGTGAGCCCCCGGCCCGGGCGCTGCCGGGGCCACAACGGCCGACTTCCCCTCTGTTGCCACCTCCTCCTCCCTCCCTGCTTCCTGGAGCCCTGCTTTAAACACACATAGGGGAAAAAAATAGATAATACTGTTTTTATAAGTTTTAGGAATGGGATTATGGCATAAAAGTTAGATCCTTTAGTAGAGCTTAGAATGAAGTCCTGCCCTTGGTTCCCGCTAGACTTACACATCAATGTGTTCATTGATTATTCATTTGGGCGTCTTTCGAGCACCTACTGGGTGCCCCTCACCTCTCGCTACTCCTGCTTATCCTCAGAGAGGCCTTCTCTGACCTCCTCGAGCTGATCAGATCCCTCTGCTTCCACAGGCCTTGGGGTTGGTGTCCTGTCTGCTTCTTGGCTAGGTGCAAGATCGGGGAAGGCAAGGTGGCACCTGCCTTGTTCTCTGCCTTGTTCCCACTATCCCCAGGGCCCACCACAGGGGACCAGGGCCCGGCCTGATTGCTAGACGCTGGGCAAGGTCCCAGGGCTACAGAGAGGAACCAGGCACACCCCCACCACGGACTCTTACGGAGCCCAGTGGGGCAGCAGAAATAGGCCCCTCATACAAACCATCTGACTTGGGGCACCATGAGCCAGATTGAGGGAACTTGGAAGAGGGAGAGACCTTGCTAGGAGGGGAGGGCATTTGAGGTGGATGTGGATGCCCCCGCAGATGGAGGGAGCAGCCCGAGCAACAGTAGGGAGGCAGGAGAGGGGTCTTCAGTTGCGTTGACAAAGAGTTGAGGAGCCCTGGGGAAGCCATGGGAAGTGACTGTGGGAAGGCCAGGGGGCAGACTTTGGGCTGGACGTGGAGGAGTGCACGGGAAAGGATCTGGAGGGGCCAGGATGTCCCAGTCCTCAGGTAAGTGGCAGGTTAGGAGCTGGGGCTGGGGCTGGGCGGGCAGCGCCCCATGACTGGCTCAGCTAATAACAGCACTGTGCCCACTGCAGGGAACCAAGTGATTTTCGAAGGCCCCGTCTTGGGGCATCAGGAAGACCGCGACAGGAAGAACATGTGCAAGGCCATGACCCTGTGTGTGTGCTATGCCGCCAGCATAGGGGGTACAGCCACCCTGACCGGGACAGGACCCAACGTGGTGCTCCTGGGCCAGATGAGCGAGTGAGTCACTGGCCACACTTTCTAGGGACACCAAAGTGGGTCCCAGGGCTAGAGGGACCTACCCCATCCTCCCTCCCTCCTCAGCTGGACCCTGGAGCTGGGGACAGCCAGGCTTGGTCTGGGAGCCTGACAGGGGTGGGAAGATATGTCCCTGTCCAGCCTCTGTGTCCCTGCACCCCTGCACCCACTCAGAAGCTCTCAGAGGGAATGGGACGCTGACGCCAGGGGAGCTAACATCAGCTTTCTACCCTGGCGTGAGTCCCACCTCTCAGCCCCGGGCTCAGGGATTCAGCTCAGGGAAGGAATGTGGGTTGAACTCTGAGCTCAAATCATGGGGGATGATGATGCAGTCCCAGAGGTTGGGTCCTTGGTAAAAATTACGGAAAATAGACACCTCTAAGAGACGCCCTCCCTTTGGCTCAGCGACTTTGGTTGTTAATGGTGATGATCCCACGATATCGGGATCTGCAGATGCGCTGCTCATTGCCTCGCCGTTTCATTCACGACAGCCCCACTGATTGCCCTTGGGGTGACAGGTCCCCTGGCGAGGCCCAAGTGAACCATGGGGGAGGTTTGGAACTTTCCAGCCTTGGCCACAAAGGGACAGAGGCCATGAGGACCCCATTTCTGTGCCTGGGTAGGGCAGGGATTCCAGAAGGGGGAGAAACCTGGGCCCTGACTCTGGGGTACTGTGGTCTGCTGAGGGCGGCGGAGGCCTGCAGAGCTCCAGGCGGGTCTGGTACATAAATGCATTAATGGGGGTATGTGCAAATTGCAGTGGCAGGAACAAAAATAAGGCGGTGCCCATGCTGTGCTGACAAGAACCCCGGACGGGGGTTGGGAGTGCAGCTGGCACAGGGGCTGGGAGGAGAAAGGACAGGCCTGGAGCCCGGCCGGGCAGACGCTTGAGATTCACAACCAGACTGTTTTGATCCTGGAAGTGTTTTCTATAATGATATCCTTACGGGTTCTCCCTTACCTTTCTTTGGGAAGAGCAGCCTGTCTGGGCTGAGTGGGGAAAAACTGTGTCTGCTTGGACACCTTGGAGCTAAAGCGGGCAGCCCCTGGGGCTGGCAGAGGCCCAGGGATGGGAGGGGAGCCTGAGGTGGAAGTGACCTTTCTCCAGCCCCCAGCCTGGGAAGCTTTTGAGATTTGCTTCGCTAAGAGGGCCCTTCCCTTGCAGAAACCCACAGGGTGAGGGTTCTGAGGCACCGCGGACCTCCTGAAGGTGTCAGCCACATTGCGTGCATGTGTGTGTACAAAGGTGTATTATTCTGGGGGGATGGGCTGTACCTTCCATGAGATTCTTAGCAGAAAGGTTGGCTGGTCATTCCTCAGCCTTGTCTTGTGCTGCAGCCGCGTTCTGGGCGCCCCCCATTGATTGGCAGGGGACATGGGTGGCTGGACCTGGGAGGACGTGGCCCCCCCCCCGTGGCCCACTTCTCAGTGCCCAGCTGCTGCTCCGCCCCCACGCGCAGGGCCGGCCCGCCCTGCACTGCTTCGTGTCTGAGCTGCGGTGTGGACCAGTGTTTCTTCTTCCAGGTTATTTCCTGACAGTAAAGACCTCGTGAACTTCGCCTCTTGGTTCGGGTTTGCCTTCCCCAACATGCTGATCATGCTGCTGCTCGCCTGGCTGTGGCTCCAGTGCGTTTATATGAGATTCAAGTAAGTCTGAGCTGCTCCCGGAACAGAGTCTAATTATGCCACACGCCTGCAGAAAAACTCTCAGACTCAGTAGGCGAGTCTACAGAGTTCTTTGTGTCTGGCCCGACTGTTTCTCCAGCCCCACCTCCCGCCAGTCTGCCCTCCTGCTCCGACCACCTCAGGTGTCCGCTGTGCCTCCGCCATGCTGTTCCCTCTTGCTGGAACGCCATGTCCTACCTTCCCGCCTTCCTACCTCCTCAGCCTTCAAGGCCAGTTCAAATGCTGCCTCCCCGACTTTCCCCCACCCCATTCCGCCTCTGTGCTACCCCTGGACATGTCACAGCCCTGTCCCATGGCACCTCCATTCATGTTCCAGTGCCGCCCCTTCTCTGACCGTGAGAGCCTCCAGGGCCTCTCTGACCCCAGCACTTGGCACAGCTCCCAGCCCAGGGAGGGAGAGCCAGGTGGGTTAAAGCAGTTAAAGAGAACCTTGTCCCCATGTGCCAAATCCACTCTGCTGGACAAACTTCCACTTGTCCACACGGTCCATCAGGCCAGGTCACAGCAAACTGGATGACGTTCAAATCAATCCAAAGCCAGACCATTACCAAACGCCTGTGATGTTCCCATCAGCGTGCGGGTCCTGGAAAGTTTACCTTCCTATTCCCCGCACAGTGACGAGGACATCAAGAGTCACCCTGAACAGCAGCCAGACTTTGGTCGGAAACCATGACGTGTGGCTGACAAATACCTTCAAAAAGTTGTTGTTATTTTAAGACACAGATTTCTCTGTGGTGCAAAGGTGATCATGTCTCACTGAGATAGAACGTGCTTAGCTCTGAGCTAAGTGGGTGTGCTCTGCCTCCATTCACAGGGAGCCCGAGCCAAGTAAAAACAGGGGAGTATGTGACCAGAGGGAAGAGACTGCAGAGCTGAGATGCAAAAGCACCCACGGAAACCTGTGATTTAATGGGGAAAATGGAGCATTTTTCTAAGTTTTCTTCTGAAGGAGAAATTGGTTTGAAAACTGCTGTTAAAAAATTGCTATACACATCCAAAACGATCATAGTAATGATAATAATAGTAGTAGGCATCCCCTACACCCCACTCCACCCTGCCCGTGTGCAGGCCCCTTGTGAAGGGGAAGCTGCTCCCGTGGCTGTTTGTCTACACGGCGTGGCTTTGAGAGCAGCCCTCTCTGCCCTGCTGCTCGAATCTGTGCCAGGACCAAAGTCCTGCTTGTTTGCTCACATCCGTCCAGCAGGCCAGTCAGGAGCTGGCCCTGAACCTGCTGTAGGTGGGCGTCTGTGTCTCCCCATGGGGCAATGGAAATGACAGTGGCCAACATTTGTTGAGTGCTTATTATGTGTCAGACGCTATTTTCAGCACTCTACATATATGAACTTCATTTATCTTCACAACAAGCTGTGAGGTAGGTACTATTATTATTATTCTCAATTTACAAATAAAGCCATTGAGGCACAGAGAGGTTAAATGGCCTACACAGGGTTGCATAACTTGGACATGGTGGGACTGAGATTAGCACCCAGGAAGTTTGGCTTCCACTGCCTTACATCCCCTCTTGAGGAGGCCAAGGATTGCTGCCTGGGCGGCCTCCGAATTAGGCATGACCAGGTGTCAGGAGCACCAGCAGGGGCCTAGGGGCCACCCTAGAACCTTAAGGCCTCCTCAGCAAGAGGAGGGAGCTGGCCCAGCACTGACACCACAAGGGCACCATCAGCTTCCCGTCCAGCTGGAGGTGGATGCCAGGCCCCTGGGAACTCGCAGCCGAGAACCTGAAGCTGCGGTTCGCCCAGCCTGGCATGGCCTCCATCAGCTCTCCTTGACCAGAAGAGAGCCTGGACAGTGTCTGCTGCACTGGGACTCCGGAGCCTGCTCATGGTGGGGGTGCATGGCTACAGTCCAGTCCCCGCCTTTCCCGACAGGGGTGGCTCACAGGAGCCTCATTCTGGTTCCAGATCTGGAAGGCAGAGGACAGCTTTTATGTTCAGTTTGAAAGTTGGGAACAGTGCTCCATCCCAGGCCACATCCTGCCACATACCAGGACCTGGTGATCCCTGCCGGCCTCCATGGCCTCTTGGAGCACCTCACCTAAGGCTGGGAGCTACCTGTCTTCAGCTGCAGGAGGAGCCTCTACTGTCACGTCTTGCTGAATTGAGTTCTCATCTAGATGATTGTGGAGAACAATGCCAAGGTGTTGGCCTCGAGCCTAATCTACAAAAACTGCACCTTACTGAGTTTATGGGTAGCCTCCTGGGCTTTATCTAGCCAAGGGGGCCACAGACAGCCCCCTAGGACCACCAACAACTATGCAGGACATTATTACCAGCTTATACCTGACTGTCCCAACCAGGCTAACCCCCTGCAATAGGGACGAGGAGTCTTCTGGACCCCTGCCATGGCAGGGACTCAAGGATCCTGCCCCTCCTTGGCTCTATAGTATCTTCAGTCCAAGTTCACTGGGGTGTATCATAGTGAAGGTCATTCTGCTGCAGAGGGACACTGTGGTCCCTACCCCAACCCCAGGGCTCTCACAGGCTAACTGGGTCCATATGGCCACATCTCATGCCAGCCTGGAAGTCACCATATGAAATTAACCCAGAGATGGGAGGGAAACTGCTTAGTTGCCAGAGGGTCTTGAAGGCTTGGTGGCACCACTGTCAGGGACCAGTCTCAGACGACTGCATGTTCCATGCAGCTCCACAGTCTGTAGCCACTGTGGTGTCCGGACATGTCACCAGCACCAAATGCTGGCTTGGGCTCCTTATAACCCCTGCTGGGCAGCTGTGAATACCACCGTCTCCCCTTATGCTAGAAACCTGCAGCCCCCGGCCCAGCCCCGGTGTCTCTAGGACGACAGTGGCAGCAGATTGGTGCTTGGTAGAGCACAGACTTCACCAATCCAAGGCCATGAAAGCAAAAAGGCCCCCTCCCACACCAGCAGGGTTGTCTCCACAATTGATGATCTGGAGTTGCGGTCTCCGATCCGCGGCCCGTGGACCAGTACTGGTCCGTGGCCCGTTAGAAACCGGGCTGAGCAGCAGGAGGTGAGTGTGAGTGAGCGAAGCTTCGTCTGTATTTACAGCAGCTCCCCACCACTTGCCATCCCCAGTGTGGAAAAATAGTCTTCCATGAGACTGGTCCCTGTTGCCAAAAAGGTTGGGGACCGCTGCTCTAGAGGGTGACCCTTGGGACACACAGCCTTGCCCTTGTCCAGCAGGGAGATCCTGGCCAGCTGTACAGACCTGAGATCCCACCACTGCACCTCCTTTCCCACCCCTGAACACCCCAAGAGGCTGTGTCCTGACGTCCTCCTGTCCCCATGCTCCAGGCCATGCCACGACCACCGGCATGGCTCTCACACTCTCAAAAGCAGTTCATGTCCAGCACTGGGTCCAGGAATCAGCACCTATTCCATCAACCCCAGGACGTACTCTCACAAGGGAGGGCTCTCCGGGGACAATGCTCATGGCCTGGCCCACCCTTCAGGCTAACAGTGGCTGGAACAGGAAGGTACAAATGGAGTCCTCAGAGAATATCTCAGGGCTCACATCCCGCGGACCCGTGGCCCAGTTACCCCTCTCCACAGCCAAGCTACTCTCTACGCCCTCCTCCTTCCTGCCCCCTCATGCCAGCACCGCCCTAGAGGAGGCCCTGCAGGCACCCTGGGCAATGGGCATCGCCCCTAGGGGGCCCATCCGAGAGCAGAGCCTAGGCTGGCTTCCTTCCTGCCCCAGCCACGGCTGCTGCTAACCCCAGGGTCTCCTGAATCCCTAATGCTATCCTCCAGTTCCTGGGAACACAAGGACTCATCCCGCTTCTGACTGGCCCAGTCTGCTGGGACCTGTCCTCGCTCCCTGTGTCCTCCTGAGCCTCCTCGGTGTTGGGGGCTGGCATCCCCGCACCATCCAAGGCAGCTCCAGACCGAGGCAGGAGGAGGAAGACTTGGGGAGCATGACAGGGAGCCCCGGTCCCACTTGAGTAGGCTCCAGACCTTCTTATGGCCTTTCTCCAGGTGACCCTGGAGCAGCTGGTCTCCAGGTGACTGGGCACCTGCCAAGACTCTCTAGCCGCTCAGCAGAGACTTTTCCCCATTATGTCCCAGGAGGCAGGGTAGACAGATGAAGGAAGAGGAGCAGAAAAGAGGTAGGAAGGGACTTGCTGCAGGCCCTGCTGCAGGAGAGAGGCAGCACTGTGTGTCTTTCTGGCACATTCTGCCATGCAACATTCAGGCTCTGTCCAACCAACACCTGAGCTAACCAACCTGCCTTGTTGTTCTCTCACCTTTACATTCTCTAGTTTTAAAAAATCCTGGGGCTGCAAGCTGGAGCAGGGCAATGAGAAGGCTGCCTACGAGGTGCTGCAGGAGGAGTACAGGAAGCTGGGCCCTGTCTCCTTCGCGGAGGTCAACGTCCTGATCTGCTTCCTCCTGCTGGTCGTCCTGTGGTTCTCCCGCGACCCTGGCTTCATGCCCGGCTGGCTGTATGTCGCCTGGGTGGAGGGTGAGACAAAGTAAGTCTTTTGTTCAGGAGAATCCTCTGGCTTAGTACACTGTGCCTAAATGCTGCTGTTCTCGGCTACGGGAAGCTAGAGGAATGTCCGGGGCTGGGCACCGTGCTTGGCCAAGACGCTTTTCCTTGGCTCTGGAGTTGGGTTTCAGAGAGCACTCTGTTGGCTTCATGACGCATTTTTTTTTTTTTCTGACAGGGTTTCATGGTAAGACTGCAGGTGTGTTTTCGTGGCACCCTCTCCTCCCCTAGTAGGTTGAGCAGAAGTTATCTGGCCAGGCGGGATGGCCAGAGCCGTGATAAAGATTTGCCAGGAGTAGGGCTCCTAGAGCTCCGGTCCCCTACTCTCTGCTCTGCCATCTTTCCTTTCTTACCTTTCTTCAGATCCACTTGAGTCCCTCCCAAGATACACATCCGGGGGTCCAGAAGCTTCTTAGACAGAAACTTGGCAAAAGGAGGTATACGTAGTTTCCCTCCTGGCTCGGATGTTGTCAGAATGGAAGTAAGGTTGAGAAACAGGTATTTTCTAGAAACGGCAGAAGATGGTGGGAAGATGCTGCCTGTGATGGGCTATTCCATTTTGAGGGTCTACTTGGGTCAGCACCAAAGTCCTTGCGGTCACCCTAGTGAACCCAGAATCCTAGAGAATCTGGCTGAGAAGGGGTCATGAAGTTCACCTGTGGAGCAGCATAGGCTGGGAGGTAGGCTGCTCAGGGTCACCCAAAGTTGGTGGCCAAGAGTGTGGGCATCTTGGTTTCCAGGTGGGACTCTGTCTACCACACCACTCTTGATCTTGGCTTTGGGGGCTCCAGTTTTCATACCCGGTTGAGCTTGTTTCTTCATGTAACATTTAGACACTAAACTGCCAGAGTTAGCACAGGTTTGTTGAATGACTGTCTCTGCAACAGTGGAGCTGGGCTGAAGGCCTGTGTGTTCTTCCCCACCTAGGTATGCCTCCGACGCCACTGTGGCCATCTTTGTGGCCACTTTGCTATTCATTGTGCCTTCCCAGAAGCCCAAGTTCAACTTCTGCAGCCAGACGGAGGAAGGTAAGGCTTCTCCCAGTCATCAGGATTGGGGCCCTGGAAGCAAAGGATCTCCATGGGACTCCCCGGGCCCAGGAGGGAGAAAATCCCCTCCTGTCGAAGAGAACCGGCTACATTACAACAGCCTGGGAGACAATGGTTTTCAAGCCAAGGGTGGTATTATTCAGTGCAGAATCTCTTCTCTTTTGCTTTTTAAACTTCAAAATCTTATTTATATTACAACAGGAACAGAAAATATTTCAAATTTCCCATAATGCCATCAGTTTTTTAAATTTTCTCTCTTCCTTCCTGTCTTTGTTAATATGCATATATATTATACAGTTATAATCAAAACACACACAGTTTGGATCCTATTTCTTTGTTGTTTGGGTTTTTTTGTTTTTGCTTCAGGTTACACTATAAACATATCCTACTATTGCTACAGTCTTCAAATATCTTTTCTCCAATAATGGCATTATATTGCACTGAGGCGCTATAATAACCATGTTCCTGTTATGAAACATTTTGGCTGTTTTGCAATTTTCATTATTATCAATTAATATTTTCTTGTACACAGCTTTTCTTTTGAGGGTATTTCTTCTCAGGGTAAATTTCTAGGAGTGATATTATTGGGGTAAAAGAATATAAATGTCTCAAAGACTCTTAAAATGTATGGCCAAATAGCTTTTTAAAAAGGTTGTACCAATTTATATTGCTGTCAGCAGTGTGTGTAATAGTTTTGCCATATCCTCACCAGCAATGTGTATGAAAATTATTGTAGATTTTAGCTAATTTATGGGTATGAGATGGTACCTCACTGTCCTTATTGGCTTTGTGCCTTCTTGTTTTCTAATGCTGCCCTGGCATGTGTGTGTGTGTGTGTGTGTGTGTGTGTGTGTGTGTGTGTGTGTGTGTTTATTTTTTCTTCTCAGAAAGGAAAACTCCATTTTATCCCCCTGCACTGCTGAATTGGAAGGTGACCCAGGAGAAGGTGCCCTGGGGCATTGTGCTGCTACTAGGGGGCGGATTTGCTGTGGCTAAAGGATGTGAGGTAACCTCTCCAGCCATAGGCTGCCTGGGGCCCCCTCTTCCACCAGGAGGGTGGCCAAAGAGCTCCAATCCTGCATCCCTGGGCTTGTGTGTTTCTGTGTCTGTCTCCTCCATATAACTGCATATTCCTTGAGGACAGCGACTCTGTCTTGTCATCTGGGAACCCTGCACCACGAGTAGGTCCTGGAAGAGAGAAAGTACTCTGAGTGAACAAGTGACCCTGGTTAGCCAAGAGAGGCAGAGGACACTGCTAGGTCCCCTTTGGGCTTGGTGATAAAATGATCTCTGCTTTGATTTATTCTAGGGAACTCTTTTTCTCAATGTATTGTCAATATTTTTGCTACTACCTTTGGTCTTCTACTCCCTGAACTCTTTGTTGACATGGTAGCTATTTCGAAATCTTTCTCTAGCTAAATATGTAGCAGCATAGGAGGAGAGGAAAATTTTGGAAAACAGCCAAAAATAGAACATTCTCTACCTCCCTCCTTCCCTCCTGGGGAAGAAAAGAGCCAGAGGGAGGGATGAGGCAGCTTGGTGCTGCTGTCCTCCAACCAGCTATCCATCCTCCCACCCATCCAGGAATGTAATAGACAGACTTATTGCTGTTTCCTCAATACCTGGGACAGAGTCTGGTACATAGGGGGTGCAAAAAAAGTTTTTTTTTTTTGTTTGTTTTTTTTGAGACAGAGTCTTGCTCTGTCACCCAGATCAGAATGCAGTGGCATCAGCCTAGCTCACAGCAACCTCAAACTCCTGGGTTGAAGCAATCCTCTTGCTTCTCGGGTAGTTGAGACTATAGGCATGAGCCACCATGCTCAGCTAATTTTTCTATTTTTTAAAAAGTTTTTCTATTTTTTGTAGAGTTCTAGACCAGCTACTGTTCAGGCTGGTCTCAAACTCCTGGTCTCAAGCAATCCTCCTGCCTCGGCCTCCGAGAGTGCTAGGATTATAGGCATAAGCCACTGTGTCCAGCACAAAATATTTTTTGAATGAGCAAATCCATCCATCTTGTCACCTCTCCATCCATCAATCCATTCTTCTCTCCATCCATCCATGCATCCACCCATCCATCCATCCATCCATTCTTCTCTCCATCCATCCATCCATCCACCCATCCATCCATCCATCCATCCATTCTTCTCTTCATCCATCCATTCATCCATTCTTCTCTCCATCCACCCATCCATCCAACATTCCTATTATGTCCTTAGTGTTAGGCCAGGCATGGAGATTACAGAGGAAATTGGGACATGGTCCCTGTTCTTGAGGACTTCACAGACTAGGGAGGGGCACATATCTGGAAGGGAATTTCAGGAAATGACCCACAAGCAAGGGAAAAGACAGGAGCCATCTAGCTTAGGAACAGAAGAAGATGAGCCTGGCAAGGATAGCAGAAGCCACTTCTCCGAGGACCTTGAATTCATGATAGGGGGTGTGGACTGATTGTGAAGGCAGTGGAGAGCCACTGAAGTGCTGAGGCCGGGGAGTGACGTGGCAGGTCTGCACATGAGAAAAATCACTCTGCTGGCTGGGCAGGCAGGGGTTGGAGGAGAATCAGATCAGGCTCTGTGGTCTGCACCTAACTCAGTCTCAGAACTGTGGACTTCAGGGGCCATTCTCTCCTTGACATTCCCTCCTCCATTGGCCCCCAAGACATCACTTTCACCTGCTTTCCTTTTAACTTTGACTGTTTCTTCTCAGCTCTGTTGCCAACTTTTCCTTGGTTCTCCCTTAAATAGGAGTGGTCTTCAAGGCTCTGTCCTTGGCCTCTTCTCTGTTACTCTTCATTCTCGCCCTGGACAAACTCTTCTTAGCTCAAAGCCCCAAATCTAAATCCCCAATTTCTGGCCCAAATCTTCTGAGCTTCAAACACCGTGAGGCCTGAGAGGAGAAGAATGTGAGATATTTTGGGTGACTTGGTGGCTGATGGGGTATAAGGAATGAGGGGGACAGAGACCCCACAGGATGACTCCAGCCTTCTGGTTTGCCCAAACTGGGAAGCCCAGAGGGAGAAGAAGATTCTGGGCTAAAGAGGATGAATTTGAGTTGGGACACGTTGAGTCTGTTGTGCTCATGGGACATCTGGGTGGAAATATCTAGAAGGCACATGGGTGTTTAAATCCAGATAGTAGAACAGCTGGGCTGGATAAACAGATTTAGAAGATAGCAGAGTGAGGATGGAGATTAAGGTCGTGGGGATGGATGAGGTCACCTATGGAACGAATGCAGAGGGAGAAAGTCAGTGTGGAGGAGGGGCCCAGCACCCCCAGCCCTGGAGGAGCCGTGAGCCAGGAGCCCTGAGGTGACTGCCCTCCTGGTGCTTCCCAGGCCTCGGGGCTGTCCGAGTGGATGGGGAAGCAGATGGAGCCCTTGCACGCCGTGTCCCCAGCAGCCATCACCATCATCTTGTCCTTGCTTGTTGCTGTGTTCACTGAGTGCACAAGCAACGTGGCCACCACCACCCTGTTCCTGCCCATCTTTGCCTCCATGGTAAGTAACCCTGATGGCAGGGTGGGGGTGGGGACTTGGGCCTCATTTCATAGGAAACTGTCAACACATGACCATGTTCTGGGTCCCCGGAGAGGAGATGAAATCGGGGCTAGAGCCCGACCAGGCTTTGTGGCCTGGGTCTGGTCCTGCTGTGGATCTGTGTCCCCAGCCGCCCCACTCCGGAGGCCCTTGCTGCCTTGCCAGTTCCTCTTTGTGTCCTGCACACTGACCAAAGCACCAGACGTGGACCAGATGTTCCAAATGTATTTCATAAATCTGACTGGATTATTTTTCAAGCAGAAGGGACAGGACTTGTGCCAAGGAAGAGTGGCCAGTGCCACGGTCTTTGGGTTCACAGCACAGGGGTGCAGGACTGCAGGGCAGGAGGAGCACCAGGGCTGGGACCCACCAGAGGGAGGCCTTGGGGAATGGGCAGGTGAGGAGAGAGCGCTCTGGGAACACGGAGCAGCCCGGGGAAAGGCAATGGGGCGCATGGCTGAGGACTCCGGGAGCCTTGCCGGGTGAGCCTGGGGCAAGGGATCAGTGGTGACCCAGGCCCAAGAGGTGGCTGGTGGCGGAGGGGCTGCTGAGCGCCAGGCTAACATGTCCTGTTCTGTGGGCAAGCATGTTTTTGAGTTGGGGTTGAGAAGAAAGCAGAGTTTATAGGAAAATCGGTGGGGATGTTTCTTGCATTTCCTTCTGTCATTCATTGAAAAGCAGTGCCAGCCTCGGGGTGCTGTGGAAAGAGCCCTGGGCTTGCAGTCAGAAGACCTGAGGTCAAGTTGTGGGATCCCCAAACATGTCTCTGAAGTTCCTTCCTCCTAGAGTTGCGCTGAGGGTCAAGTAAGATGGGAGCTATGAAAAGCCTCTGTGGACTGCAAAATGAGCAAGGCGAGGCCGCAGTTATTCTGGAGTCAGGAGACAGACTTACAAGGGGCCTGAACACAGGACTGAAGTTGGTAAATTTCCATTTGGCTGCCTGGGTGTCCACGTGTATAAAAAGCAAACCTAAGTGGTTTTTTCCTTCCATTCCAAGCAAAGATGAAAGTGTTAAAAATAGCAGGGTGGCTTGTGTCCTCCTCCCCTGAGCAGGCCGCCCAGACGGATGCTGAGGAAGAGGAGCACCCTCTGACACTGGGTATGTGGAGGTGATGCCTCCCCTTCCCCAGCAGAGGCCCTGGCTTTGCCATCTCCAGCACTAACAGGGAGCAACAAGGGTCCCAACCAGACAAATGCAGGCCTTAACCCCAGGGGGTGGCCAGGCCCTTTGCAAACAGGTTTTTCTAGAACCAGAAGCCCCAAGCAGGATGTCCCCCAGCTACCTCCAAGACCCTCACACTCCGGCCTCAGCACACACCTATGAGAAAGGCAAAGGTGGTGGTCGCCAGCTGAGTCACAGAGGAACGTGGGGTGCACACACCGTAGGGTGACCAAAGCTAGGAGCAGCCTGCGCCCTTCCTGGGACCTCTCAGTTACTCCCAGAGGGAGTGTAACTTGGTGCAGCCTTTTCAGGGGGCTGTTTACCAACAGGAACTGGAAACTTAAACCTGCTCATACCCTTTGACTCAGCAATTTCATGTCTGGGAATATAGCTTAGAAAATAATCAGAGATTCCTAGTAGCATATATTATGGTGATGTAAGACAGAATCATTTATTATAAAAATATATCCATAATAATAGGGGGGTGGTGAAATAAATTATCGTATATCCAGATAATGTAATACTATCAGGCGTTAAAAACCACAGTTTTGTAAAGTAATAAAGTGGGAACATGCTCATGGTATAATTTTTTAAGTTGAAACTGTAATACAAGGCCGGGCGAGGTGGCTCACGCCTGTAATCCTAGCACTCTGGGAGGCTGAGGCAGAAGGATTGCTTGAGCTCAGGAGTTCGAGACCAGCCTGAGCAAGAGGGAGACCCCGTCTCTACTAAAAATAGAAAGAAATTAATCGGACAACTAAAAATATATAAAAAAAATTAGCCGGGCATGGTGGCACATGCCTGTAGTCCCGGTACTCGGGAGGCTGAGGCAGGAGGATCGCTTGAGCCCAGGAGTTTGAGGTTGCTGTGAGCTAGGCTGACGCCACAGTACTCTATACAGGGCAACGGAGTGAGACTTTGTCTCAAACAAAACAAAACAAAACAAACAAAACCCACAAAAACGTAATACATTCATATGCCTTAAAAGTGTCTAATAATGCAAAGAAGTGTATAGATCCTAATCCTCTAGCCTCCCTAGAGATGACTTCTGTTATTAATTTCTTAGGTTTATCTTTCTAGATATATCACATACACACACACACACGTATTCTTTTTAAAGAAATGGTATCATTCTGTGGTCCTATAACACATCTTAATTTTTTAAAAAAAATTTAATCATAGGTCTTTGAGATCTTTCCATATTAGCACAAAAAACCTACCCAGTTCTTCACTGCTGCATGCTATCCATTGTTTCTGTATATCATACTGTATTTAACCATCCTGCTATTGATGGCCATTGAGTCTGCTTCCTGTGTTTTGCTGTTACATTGTTGCAGTGAACGTGTTTTCATACGTCTCTGCCATTATGTGCATGTAAATCTGCATGATAAATGAATAACTTTTATAGATTTTATAAATTATATCATCCATTCATTCATTCAATAAATATGTAATAAGTGCCTACCCTCTGCTAGGTGCCATTAGATGTGGCTGAATTTTAAAAATGTAGACTAAAAAAGGTGGTTACCAAATTCCATATGCAAAATGATCCCAAATGTGGATAAAACCACACATATCCATAGGTAAGTGAGAGGATGTGCATCTCAACTGTAAAATTGAGTGCAGTCTAAGTGCTCAGCACAGTCTCCGGCATATAGTAGGTGCTCAAGAAATGTATGTTGAATGAACTGAAGGGGTTCAGAAAGGCCTCCTAGGGGAAGTGGCCTTTGAGCTCAGCCTTCAGTGTTCAGGAGAGCGATCAGCCAGAGAGACGTGGCAACAGGTAGAAGAATCAGCAAGACAAAGGCACAGAGGTTCGAACCCACACGGTGCACTCAGAATGCTTTCAGAACCGTGGCCCGGGGAGCTTTTGTGTTCTCTACTGCGATGCTGCCGTGCTGTGTTTCTCCCCAGTCCCGATCCATTGGCCTCAACCCGCTGTACGTCATGCTGCCCTGTACCCTGAGCGCGTCCTTTGCCTTCATGTTGCCTGTGGCCACCCCACCGAATGCCATCGTGTTCACCTACGGACACCTCAAGGTTGCTGACATGGTAACACAGCTGTTTTCATTTACTCCTCTCAGACTCTAATGCTGTCGTTTGTCATAAGGGATGCCCCATTTATGAACGTGAGAGTTTCAAAATGATGGCGAAGGATTTGGAATACCACAGAACATCCAGACCTATGGATGTTATTTACATTTATAATTCAACTTTTCTCCTCTTTTGAAATGACCTCAAACTTCACAGACTGTCCTGTTCTCTCACCTGGAGAAGTCTGTGCGGGCACCAGGGAAGCCCTAGCTAAGGGGAAGGGGTGGGGGTAGAGGGCTCACATGGCCGAAGACAAACTTCACAAACTAGCAAGAACCCATGAGAGCAGTCAGGCAGGGCAGGCTTAGACTCAGGGGAAAGGCTACTGCTTTGTAGAGGCGTCAGAAGAGATAGAAGCAAGGAGGGGTAGAGAGACCACTGCTTGGGAGTAGACAATGCCTTGGAAACAAATGCAGCCAAAGGAAGGACTCTTCGTGTCTGGCTTGGCTATATCCCCTCTGGTGGGAGAAGGAGGGCAGATTTCCAGCTCTGGGATGGGGAAGGGGCAAGTGTATGAGCCCAGGAGGCAGAAATGAAGGTCACTACCTTGGACCAGTCAGGTGTTGGTTATCTCCGAGCCTCTGCTGGGGATCTTCGGGACTCCATGGAGCATTTTCTCAAAGAGGGTGATCCCAGAAGACATGGATTGCTCCGTCACTACTCACGTCACCCCTGTGAGGTCATTTTTCCAAATGCTAAGATGGGCATAGGGAAGCCATCTATCCTGCCTCCCTCCCAGGGTGCTTTGCGCACTGATGGTGCCTGGTGGACAGGAAGCTATTTTGTCTGGGGTGGGAGGAGCACAGAGCGTGGTCCGGGGACATCAAGGCCCAGAAAACTGGCCCTTTGTCCTCCTCTCTGAGAAGGCAAGTTCCCAGCATCCCCTGCACCCTTGTCCTGACAGCCCAGCAGACCTGAGGGCGCTCACTCTGACCCTATTTTTCTTCCAGGTGAAAACAGGATTCGTGATGAATATAATTGGAGTCTTCTGTGTGTTTCTGGCAGTCAACACCTGGGGACGGATCATATTTGACTTGGATCATTTCCCCGACTGGGCTAACGTGACACACACTGAGACTTAGGAAGAGCCACAAGACCATACACACAGCCCCGCCCTCCTGAGGACTACCGAACCTTCTGGCACACCATGCACAGAGTTTTGGGGATCACATCCCAAAGTGACTCGATGATGCCCACACCCCACCAAGACCCAGCCAGCGGGCCACCTCTTTTCTTCCTCCAGGCCCAGACACAGAGATGGGGATGGGCGGCTGGAGGGCAGGCTCAGAACTGAAGGGAGCCCTTCAAGAGGCTGCTGGTCCCCATCTTTCCTGGGGCCCTACCATCTTCTCTGGGATGATGGGTAGCAGAGGGGCTGGGACACCGGCTCCTGTACTCACTCAGCCTCGAGCAGCCACCATGCTGGCCTCACACTGGGCTCTGGTTTTCACTTGCTTAGTCCTGGGTCATTTAAATGGGAATCAGAGCCCCAGGTCGGAAGCTGAGAAAATAAGCTACCACTGCCTGTGCTTCTTCGGGCTCCTCTTGGGCCACCTAAGATCATCTCTGTCACTCTGAAGGGGACACCCAGCCAGCGGCAAGATGCTGGTCTTGGGCAGCTCCCACCGCTGGAGTGAGAGTGGGAATCGGAGCCTCCTGGGGACTCTCGGAACTCCTTGTGCAGCCACCACCAAAGGATGAGGAGTTTGAGTTGCTAATTTCAAGATGACACGTGGCTTCCCTCCCACAGCGCACTGCTGGCCAGCCTGCTCCTCTTCTTGCCTTGCTCCATTCTGATTGACAGTTTGGACTGCTGTCCCACCTCTCCAGTGAGCTTCCTTTAACTCCTAGCTTCCCTGTGCCTGGGCCAACATTTGCTGAGATGCCCTGGCTGGGGCCCTCAGGCCTCCCCCTTCTCTCAGGGCAGGTCGGTGTGGCTCTTCTGTGACATGCTTTCCCTGCCTCCCTACGCGGCTGGGGTCACACTCCAAGTATGGGCAGTGATGGCACTTTGGGGGCCACAGTGGGGTTTCAAGGTCCTCCCTTACCTGCAGGCCCAGGGTAGACAGCTGCTAATGTCTAATAGCTGAGTCACTTCAGAGTTTGTTTGTCACGCCAGAGCTTGAGCTTCTCTGGGAAAGCCCCCCCTTGTGACTTGCCTTCACAGCCAGGCCTGGTGGCAATGGAGCATCACTGAGAATGCGCGGTGCCCGGTGCTCCCTGAGCAGACAGCCCGTTTGTGAGTGACCCATCTGAAGTTACTACGACAGACACCCCAGGGTGGGCCAATGACTCCGAGTGGCCATGGGAACCCTCAGAAGCCCCTGTAAGAGAGACATGAGAAACAGCCACCCTCTTGCCCCCAACCCCATTTTCCTTCCTTCTGGTGCTGCTCTGGAAGAGAGACAGTGGCAGACAGATGAGGCCCTTGGGTGGTGTTTTTCAGGGCAGGAGGAAGTATGGGAACCCTATCAAGGACCAAGTGTCCATCTGGTTCCTTGGGTGGAATAATTCCTGACCACGCCGTCGAGATGATGCTCTCATTAAATGCTCCATCTCCCATGGAAAGTTCCACTGTGCCGACTCACCTCTGGTTTTCTACTGTGTGTGTTGGGGTGGGCAGGAGGTAAATGAATGAACAATTACTTACTACCCACTGCCTGGGTGCCAGGCCTTCCTGTGCCTGGTGAACCCACTAGTTATCTCATTCAGTCTTTGCAGCAACCCTGTAAAATAGGCAGGTGTTACTGTCCTTGATTGTCTTTCAAGAAAACTGAGGCTCAGAGAGGCCAAGTGAAGTGTCCTAAGTCACACAAGTGAGTGGTAGTGACGGCTCCAACCCAGATCTTCTGACTCCTGCCCAGTGCGCCTTCGTCTAGACATTAAGGGCCTTGGCCTTATAGGGCTTGTAGGGAAAGGTGAATGGCCAAGAGCAAGTCCACAATGAGGTCCTCAGGGAAGATCACCAAACATGAGTCCCTTTCCGTTGCCTCCTGAGATGGGCTCAGGGCAGGATTGAGTCAGACAGGGGTGGTCCTTGCCCTAAGAAGCGAAGTGTTTGGTTGGAGAGGACAGTAAGGAAAAGGAAAAGCTGACAGCTTCCTTCTTGCACATCCGTCCACCACGGCCCTCCACACTGCTGCTGTTGACTGGTCTGCCCCACCAGACCGAGGGCTCTCACTGCCCCCTGGGCCTAGTGCCAGCACTATGGCTGATCCACAGCAGGCCGCAATAAGTGTGGTTGATAGATTAATGATTGATCGGTGTGGTCAATTGGGTGCATGCTTGATGGTAGTGAGCAAGGTCAGTGAAGGTCATCCCAGGTGGGCACTGAAGGATGAGTAGGATGGCCAGGCATGATGAGGGAGGCTTTGGTGGGGTGGGTGGAGGACTCTGCCAGACACCCTCTGGTTGAGGGCTGACCAAAAACTGGGTGGAGAGCTTCAGGAGAGCAGGACTCCCAGCTGCAGAGGCTGACCAGAGGCAGCTTCTAAATAACTTCTCTTAGGGTCAGTCGGCTGGGGTTACACCAACGTT